GTCATACCGCCCAGCACTACAAATGACTTTAATGAGCTGGTTATTTAAATTAATAGTAAAAAAAAAAAAAAAAAAGAATTACAAACTTAAATCAATCCAAAATAATATCCTGCATACTATACATTATTGGCAGAGAGAATTTCTTTTATATGTAAGCAAATTATGTTATAACAGAAAAATACCTAAAAATACCCTGAATTACATTGAAATCTCAAATCAAACAAATCAAGAATTTGAGAATTAATGTCAAATTTGTATTTATTATTAGCAAATAACAATTTAAAAAGGCAGCACAGCAATCTATTTACTTTACGAAAATCGGCCAGTTTCAACATGACAAGCTGATTAATAATCACGTTGGCAATGACTGCTGAATAATTGCGAACTTTCTTCATAAAACTTAATTCAAATATCCAAACTGACTGCTTAAAAGCGCAACAGTTTTGCCAAAATGCAAGTCCTTTCTGCTTATTTCTGCTCAATTATTTTGTTCATGTTTTTAGAAAATAAAAGTATTTTTTCAGTAACTCAAGTCATTTAAAGTCTATCCAATTACACTAGTAAAGGCAGCAGATATTGTCTTGTGTTCCTACTGTTGTACTTTTAGTGGTCAAAGTCGACGAATGGTCAAGACAAATGACACTTAAAAAAAAAAAAACCTTTGAAGATCATAAAAGATCTTAATGGTGCATTAAAAACACATTTGGCCTGTTAACAACCATTGAAAACGCTTGCAACATCAAAACATCAATATTAATGAGATTCCCTGGGATAATTTTGGCCAATGTCAGCGTGAAAAAAAGCACGGCTGCACGGTTTGACCCGGAGACCTGGAGATAGTAATGTGACAGACTCCTTGTTCAAAGAAACTGGCCTGCTTTCATCTCCGGCTTTTTCCCGAGCCGCACTGGCCCAAGCCATCTGCTTTATTCTAATACGGGGCTTAAAGATGCTGGTTTTTTCAAGGCTTCCCAAGTACGATAAACAGCCTTTATGTAGCTCACCCCTGTTTACAGCATGCAGTATGCTGTGCTGTAAAATATTCACTGTTAAACTGTCAACGATGCTGGCCACTCGCCCGGCCTTCACAGTATGGTGGCACTCGCCCTCAGTTTACGCCCCCTCGGCCCCCCACCAATGCCTGCTCGCGGCGGCGCCCGGGAACCAGCCCACTTCTCAAGACCTTCCAGAGCAGTTCAAACGCCCCGCGAGCTTCCAGGCTTGGCTTCAGACACGTGTAAAGTTTTTTTTTATTCACTGCCCTGCAAAGGCACCGCCAAAGGTTTTTGAGTTCCAACTTGGCATGACTTCTGAAAAAAAAAAGCGCCACAGCTTCCTCCTGCAGCTCTCGAGCCGGCTGTTTGTTTCCCTGACTGATTGAGTGCAGAGAGCAGGGTCCTGTCGCGCAAGATCCCGGAACGAGGGGGTGTTACGTTTCACTCCAGCCACAGACCTCGACAGCCCTTGGGCCGAAGAAACTCGGCGGAAAGCTGATGAGTGTTAGTATGCCAGGCTGGCGTGCCCGGCTATTTGCAACACTCGGGTATTGCGTATTAAGAGAGACAGGCTTTCAAAACAAACGGCCTCTTGCCTTCTCTCCGTGTCATCCTGTGTAAAATATTAAGTGTCGTTTGCAGCGAGAACGTAAAAAATGCTGATAGCGGGCCGTACGAAGACACTGAGGTTGTTCTTTTGGATCACAGTGCATATTTACTCCAGTTTTCACGTATTTTGTGACAAACGCAGGCTGTCAGCGTCTCGATTACTGTGTTTACAGTGGCATATGCATCGTGTAATTATGCCATGAAAGAGTTCATTTCCTCGGGAAATCTAAAGCAACGAGAGAGGCCAAAAAGGATGGGAAAAAATGTGCAAAGAGGAAAACTCAAATTGTGCCAGATCAGCCTAAAGTATAAGTTGTAATTACAAGCTGAAAAAGACAATATCATGAAAATGTATACAAGGTCAAATATGAGAGTCAACTAGGCCTAAATTATCTCAAATGAATGGGTTTATTCAAATAGCATCATATTCTTCAATGATTAAGACCAGATCATATCTATCCCTTGACGTTGAAACATCTAGCATTCAAGTTTTGCAATGGCCAATACGATATCTAGAGGGTTGAGTGGCTGATAGGGGTGGGCGATATAGCCTCAAAATTACATCACGATATTTCAAGAATATTTGCAATAACAATATTTATGACGATATAGAAAAAAAAAAAACATGGAACAACGTTTTATTGGTGATTGCAGCTTGCAGGCAGCAGAATTTATTAGTGCAAACAAAATGAAGGGCATTTTCCATCCTTTTCCAATGAGCTACTGTCATTGATGACAGACTACCTAATTTGAAGTGCAAATCTATTGTCATAAGGTGGCAGCAGCAGCTGTGTGCTCGACTTGAAGCAGATCGATCGGTGTATGACGTCAAAATACCACGAGAGTGACTTGCCCCTTATTTACACTGCACGTGTCTGCGGCGCGTTACGACTCCGACGCGGCCACTCTAGTCAATGCTTGTGTTTACACCAGCGGAGCCGCGGCACATTCTCCGCGCCGCTTCGCTAAAGATATGCGCCTCGCCTATTTTTGAAGGTAAGAGTGTGCGCTCGAATATGCTCTAGAACTGCTCTCGCAATACTTTGATGTCATACACCGATCAGTCTGTGCAGCGCTGCTTCATGTTGAACACACTTATTGGGTTTGTGGTGGTGTTGTTGTGCGCACTAGGGAACGTATATTCGCCATACGTCATTGTGTCGCTATATCATTGATATTGCGATATGACACTTTTTTATCATGTAAAAATGTATTATCATGGACGGTATGATATGATATATTATGAATGAATAACTCAATTTAAATATGCCCAATGAGACAGACATAAAATCTATGCATTTAATAATTTCATAATGCAATAAATACTCAAAATAATTTTTTTTTTAAGTAAGGAGATTCTTTTTTAAAGAATTTAAGACCAATTGTCTAACAATGCAAAGCTTATAAAGTCAGGCCTACACAAGTGACAGTTTTGCATTGGAATGTGGAAACAATTGTGCATCGAAATATTTTGTAGGTTAAATACACTATAGATAAACACATTAGAATTCAAATCAAATGATCACACAAACCTGTTGCAATATTGAAAGACTTGCTGAATATTGCAATATTGAAAGTGTTGAGTAGCTGATATATAAAGCTATATTATAAATCATTCAATTTAATGATGTCGAATGAAACAGACATAAAACTGGTTAAATTAATACACAATAATTATTTTATAGACTTTAGATTATTTTAGACTATTTAGTACAATTTTAAAATCACTTAATAAAATAATTAAAATTTTAAGACCAAATGTGTAATAATACAAATACTATTAACTGACACAGGAAAGAGGTCACATTTCTATTTATCGGCCCACTTTGAGGTTTGTGGTTGACACTGATCTAAAAACAGCCAGATTTAGCTACTATTTGGCTGATATAACACACAGCATCCCAATTTGCCTGACTTATACTATGCTTTACTTTTGAACTTTTGAGTGTGTAGCAGACGAATGAGCAAGTTTTGGTAAATACTACCACATTATAATTGTGTCTTTAATGAATGCCGCTGTCGCATCCCGTCACCACAAACTGGCCTGTCAATCATCTTGTCACAGTTAAAGTACACAGTTATGTACACATTTTACATTTCAGTTTAGGCTAATTAAATCACGTGCCAATTCTTCTGATCAACACACCAGTTCAAATACCGAATAGCATGTATATTAAGATGCAGCATCAGTCCATCATCAGTCTGGGTTTTTTTTGTTTTTAAGACTCTATAATGTTCACTCCATATTTTGCAAAACTGACAATTGTGTCATAATTTACACTCTCAAGTTGCATCATGCAGTATAACTTCCTTTCTTCAGTGGAACTCAAAAACATTAGGCAGAATGTTGTGACTGGCAGCTTTGGAGCCCATTTACTTTAATTGCATCTTCTTTCATACAAGGACACTTAAAAAATGACTCCCATTCTAATATGAGTTTTTGTGTTCCACAGAAACATAACACGTGTTTGGAAAGACATGAGAGTAAGTAAATTATAACTTTTGGAGTGCTACAACAAGCTAAGCCACAGCCATTATTGTTTCAAATTTTGTGCTGATTCATTGTCCAATGTGAATCTGACAAACCCTGAATGCACTAAACTACAAGCCAATGTACTTCTACTGGGTTTTTTAAGGTAAAATAGTGCTTAAACTTACAATATCCTCTTGAACTTCTATAACGTCATTAAAATTTTAGTACCAGAAAGACATAACTATGAACTTCCCTCCTAATTCACTTATGTCATTGTTAATATTACGAACAGTGTTGTTCATCAAGTTCACAAACAAGTACCAACACGTTGCTGTCACCAGCTGGAAAGTGTTGCCAAAGTAAGAAATGCTTCACACACTCAAATAAACGGCTTATCTCTGTGACATTTCTAGAGAAACCCAGCATTAAATACCTTTGTCATCTGGGTTTAAGGTTATTTGGCCAGTGTCAGAGTAACTTCGCGTCAATTTCTCCTCACATTTCTAGTGCATGTGTCACGCTGACAGACGTTAGCTTAGCCACAATGCTCTAACCGTGCCGTGTCACTGCTAAAAACACAACCGACACTCTGTAAAACAGCTTCAAACTTACTTTCACAACAGGGTAAGTTGCTGTCAGATTGAATAAAGCATTTTTAAGCGTTAAAACAAATAATTTGGATGTTTGTCTGGGGTGAATTACCGCCACAGCAGCATTAGCCTAGCGCGCTAACTCAAACTAGCCCAAAGTTCTGTCAACTTTTCCTCAGCTCTTTCTGTTGTAGCCTCATACAACATAGCCTATTTATCGGATACACAGTTCCTAGTCGACTCAAAATGTCCTTGTTGCGTGGCAGTAAAACGGAAAAGTGGCACGATAATCTGTTTCGAAGTTGACAGGAGGGAATGAAGCTAAACTCTTACCAGGAAGTGCCAGCTGGGCTTCACGCGTACTGAACTGGAGCTCGCGCCGAGGATGAGGATGAGGAGGATGATGATGGTCTCTCAGTCTGTCAAGGTCGAGCTCCTGTTGAGTTCCTGCGCGACGCTGCAACACACACGCGAGCTGTTCAATCGCGCCTATAGAGTGTGTGTGTGTGTGTGTTCGCGTGAGTGTGAGTTACACACACATCCCAGCATGCTCGCTTGAGAGGGGCGGGAAACTTCACACAGGCCAGTAACAATAACTTTAACATTCACAGAGAAAAGAGCAAGGAAATACGGAAGGATGCTATTCGATTCTATTTTATCTCCCTTCACACTCCTCTAATCTGTTTTATTCTCCAAGTTTTCTATGCTCTTCTGCTCTATTCTCCAAGGAAGGTTCACATCAGTTCTATTTTATTCTGTTCTGCTGCACTTCACCAGTATTCTATTGTATTTTGCAAGCTATTCTGTTTCACATCACCTCATTTCTATTCTAATCTATTCTCTTTTATGAAATATTCACTCTGTTCTCCCCACTTCAGTTCTATTTTGTAAGTTTCACTTAAATGTCATTTTATTTTCAAAGTTTTACCTCATTTCTGTCCTCTCTTGAAAGCTGTATCTGGGGCATGCAGTACCTTTTCTAAAGGTACTAATGTTTATCATTCGGGAACTAATTTGTACACTTAAGGTAGGCTACAAATATGTAACTTTGAGGTACTAATATGCACCCTTTATGGGGTAAATAAGGTACAAAGGTGTACCTTTTGAGAAGGTACCACCCCAGTGACAGCTCTATTATGTAAGTTTCACTTCAGTGTTGTTCTATTTAGCAAGTTTCATTTAAAACAAAACACTGGTCAAGAATTAGAAGTACAAAACGAGGATTTGTAAAGAAAAATGTCAGAGGATTTCGATAAAAGCCAAGAAGAGACTGGATTTCCTTTGCTGTAAACAAAACTTGATTCTCACGAGACTAGCATATTCTCACATATTCTCCCTTTTATGCTTCAGCATACCAAGATATTTTGGACAATTCTATGCTTCCAACCTTGTGGGAACAGTTTGAGGAGGGCCCTTTTCTATTCCAGCATGAAAGCAAGGTCTATAAAGACATGGTTGGGTGAGTTGGATGAGAGCTTGACTGGCCCACACAGAACCCTGACCTTATCCCCACTGAACACGTTTGGGATGAACTGCAATGGAAATTTCAAGCCAGGGCTTCTCGTCCAGCATCAGTGCCTGACCTCACAAATAATGGCCAAAAATTCTCACAGAAATTTTGTGGAAAGCCTTCCCAGAAGAGTGCAAGCTATTATAGCTGCAAAGGGGGACCAGCTCCATATTAAAGGTCACATATTTTATACCTTTCTGGAGTTTTATTTTAAGTTTTGATGTCCTTAAGAATATATATTTGCGGTATAAGTACCAAAAACCATCTCAATATATTTTTACAGCTCCTCTCTCAGGAGCTCTGCTGAGAACAGGTCGATTTTGGTCTGTCTAATTAATATTCATTCATGAGCCTCTCTTCTGATTAACCTGTTGTTTTCTGAGTGACGCATGGCCAGGCCAACCACAGGTAACTAGGGTCAGCCGACGTCACAGCGCTAGCTGGAGGCAGCAAACAAAGGGGAAACTGGAGGCGGCCCATTCAAACCAGCGCAGATTCGTCTACATAAGGAGCTTAAAATATCATCTTGTTGTGATGTTGGGTGCCAGAATCGACGTAATACAGCCTCAAATTAGAAATTTGATCGCATATCTGCTGCCACTGCCAGACAAAAAACCGACGACAGCTGTGGTTAAACGTGATAAAACGAGCAGACTGGACAGAAACGATCGTCAAAAATGCTCGCATTTGCAGCGCACACTTCTTATCAGAAAAGCTTTAATAAAGTATTGTCTTTTGTTGTTATGGGCGCTTCTACAGATTTCTTGCCATATGTCTATGTTTCTTGCATCTCACGATTATGTCGTGTATGAAATAATGTCTGTGTGCATGTGTGTAAAACAACAAACTGACGATTCATATATAATCATTTGTAATTGTATATACATTGTTGTGATTAATTGTGGCTGGAACAATAATGTAGCTGTAAAAATAGTTGCCTACTGAAATTGAAATGTATATACATCTTCATCATGACTAAGTTAGACATGTGAGTTTGTCTTACTATGCACGTTAGATGTGATCCACCTCATAGTAACAATCCTGTCAGATCGTCCATCCTTTGAGTGAGAGTGTAACGTTACAGGTCGGCCGATCTAGTTTCGTGGTTAAAGTTAACCTTTTCACATGTTTCCGTGTTGTTGTTGCTCAGCAATGGCATGAACGCGATGTTGTCTGGGGGTTTGGCAAAAGGAGAGTGGGACGGTGGGCGGTGCTCGGGGTGGTGACTGAAGGCGGTGACTGTGTAGTTCTGACGTCAACTTTTTACGTAAGTCACAACGGTTCGTGAAAAATCAGAGCTACTTTATGCAGACTGTGTGCATTTTACTGTGGACTGACTGACTTGAAACTTATATGGTAGTTAAATAGCCCCTAGACCTCAGTTATCGTGAAAAAAGCCAGGAAATTTCAGTTTTGACAACATGGGAACTTTAATGTCTGTGTATTTCGAATGCAATCATTAATGTCCCTGTAATGATCAGGTTTCCCAATACTTTCATCCATATAGTGTGTTTATATATGTGTATATATAAAATCATTTATTTTTTGCTTTATTTTATAAATGTCACCTGCAGTTTTCCCCATAGTCATTAATGCCTAATATTCTCATCTAAACAGGAAAACTTATGAACAAACAACATAAACCTCACAATTTGTTGTGATTTCCTTAATCGTGCGCAACAGCACAGTTCACCCTTATTTATCCACCGAATTTCCTTGATTTTGATTTTGATATGCCTGTACTACCTGTGACTGCAAGTACAAAGATTGTTAGTGAAGCATGCTAGACAACATAAAGGCACATTAATCATATCAGCATATCTAGTAAACAGTATATAAACTTGGTTAGTGTCAAATTAATTTCAAAAGATTGTTTACACCTCACCTCACAGATTTTATCCATATAAACAATATTATGTATTGTCAGCAGTAAAATTGCCAAAATACACTCCGATGATACTATACAGTAGTATTACATTCAATCAGAGCATTTGAGGGGAGCATTTTTTCTGTATAAGGAAAGTAACAATGTTTTCTCCTGCATTTTGACAGTTGATAATCAACAAGTGTTGTGCACTGCTTTTCTTTCTTTTTTTTCTGTCTTGACACTTCAATAGCAGTTCTGCTAACCTCCTCACAAATACCATATAAGAAAGGTAAAGCACACACTGTGTGTTTTCCCCTCTTCTTGAACAAGCGTTGAAGATTAAAAGAAACGTCTGCGGAAAATCTGTCAATTCTGTTGGCGAATAACGGCAAGCTGGAATTTAATGGCATGAGTTATATTGGGCTCCCTCAACACCCACATTTTGCTCTCAATGAGATCAATGCTGCTTCATGACAGATAGGGACTGTCTTTAGTATCTTCAAATTTCTGGTTTCTGAGGGAATAATTAGACAGATGGATAAGAGGCAGCTCTTGTGACTGCACACGGGAGCTCTGGTTCAACACCACAGTCTGTTGTCTTGAAATCTGTGTAATAATCAGATTGTGTCGATTGTTCTAAAAGTAGAATGGCGGCGGTTCCGTAATATTAACTTCTTTTTTTTTATTTTTTTTTTTAGATATTTGTTTTGCCAAAATCCTTGTTTGATTTTGTATTTTTCTGGAATGTAGATGAGCTTCCTCATGTCTTTTTTCGGGTGTTGTTTGTCTTTACCCCTAGACAATGAACTTTTTTGGCAGTGCACGATAGGGTCGCGCTGTAGTAGAAAAAGAAACAGCCAGCTTGATTTGCTTTATTAATGCAGCTGTCGATAAAAAAAGTTATTCAAATCAAGTCTTCACATTTACGTGTATGTATGTAAACACGCACACACAGTTACACGTGTGCTTTTATCTGCTTCTGTTTGCTTGTGTGTCTGCAGTCTGCAGGAATTTTGTTTTCTATGTTTTCATGAATGTACACATATGCATACAAAATTGGAAATATACAAGCTAAGCTTTTCATAAACACACATAAACACACAATATAATGAAATAATAAATGATGAAATTTTATCATCTATTATTTCATTATATTGAAAATGCATTATTTCAGCATTGACTACAAGCTTTAAAATAAATGGCAAGTTGTTAGAAATATGCAGCTGTTGAAGCACTAATACTAATGACATTAATAATTTAATAATGTCTTTTGATTAACTGATTAATAGGTGATCAAAATTATGATCAGAATTGACCGTAATTTAGGATATACTATGATTATTATCATATTGTTTTTTTGCTTTTTTTTTAGAAACCAGGCTTGTCGGTTAACCTGCGTGATTTCAGAATTATAGCATTTTGGGCAATTTTATGAATCTGCACATGTACAGTACAGTTAAACAGAGAAAATGTAAAACATAACAACAAAAGAGCCTATTAAAGGCCAAATACTAAATAAAAGAGCTAACAAGGCAAAGCAAATTTTCAGTTTCAATCATAGTTTTAAAAGACCTTTCAAAGCTTGTTTGTAATAGTGTTCATTGACAAAAAAAGAGGAAGACCTTAAGGTGCTGTTTATATATGATTTGATATGCTATTCAAAAATAACTTTCCCTGGTATAACGTAAGGTTTATTTAGCTATTTCAGAAGAAAAATGCAATTATATATTTACAATTATATATGTGAATGTAGAAGTAAAACTGTACATTTTAATACATTTTTAACTGTAACCTGACAAAACAAATCTGTCTAGCTATAGACAATTTCATTAAATATTTATTTAAAACCTATAAATTTAATTTTACCCACAAAATATATATAAAAAATTATAGATAGATAGATAGATAGATAGATAGATAGATAGAACAACAGATTTAACATTTATTTAAAACCTACAAACCTTGATATAGACAGATAGATAGATAGATAGATAGATGGATGGATGGATGGACGGATGGATGGATGGATGGATAGATAGATAGATAGATAGATAGATAGAACAACAGATTTAACATTTATTTAAAACCTACAAACCTTGATATAGACAGATAGATAGATAGATAGATAGATGGATGGATGGATGGATGGACGGATGGATGGATGGATGGATAGATAG